CTGTAGTGGTTTGACTTTTGACAAGACTGGAGACGTGCCAATGAAAGAAATTATTTTTCGAAGATCTATTATTTAGGTTTCCGCTATGCTTTTTAGCTAAAAGTAATTTGTTCCTTTGTTTCACAGCAGCTTCTGTTTATCTTCATCTTAACGAAAAGATAATGTCTTTAGAATAAAGTATCCACATATCTTTTACAATAGATTTTTTTTTCGCTATTACTCTAATATTCTAAGAATTAGATCAATTAAAAATATTATTTTTTATGTAAGTTTTTGTATGAATCAAAGAATCTAGTTTAGGAATATATATAAGCAATTATTAGTGTTTCTATTTTGCTTAAGATAGAAAACTGCAATTATTGCTTTTAAGATGTTTACAAGTATTTTGAAGATCCTATTTCCAAAACCTATGCCCCTTCCTGTTTAATAAAATTGTATATGTTTGCTTTATATTTATTTTTACATATAAAACATTAATCTACATCCTCTGGTGCATAATCAGATTATCAAATCCCCTGCACAGTTTTTGCAGCACCAGCATGCATCTCGTATTTCAGGGAATCCCTTAATGACTTAGTCCCTTAGTGTTTATGTTACTCAAATTAAGTGAAACATGTGTCGGCAATATTTTGTCGCACTTGTATTTTGGAATGGTTCAGTTCTCTTGTGCAGTTCAGCACAACACAGTCCAAAAAAGAGTGCCGCACTATGGTATGTTCATCACTCCCGTCTCGAACTCTGTATTTAATAGTTTAAATTATAAATATTTTTAGCGTTAATTACTGAGGCGGCTTGTTTTCCCTTAAAACTCACAGTTTTCATTAATGAAACATGGCACATGTGTGCGCACTCAAGACAACAGCGGCACGTAGTAACAGAACATGGGAACCACTCCAATCCGATCCTCGTTTAACGATCAGCCTGACTTTGATGTTTGACTTTTATTGCGTTACTTAAATTCTTTTGGTTTTATTCCTTTTAAAGGAATATAATGTCAATTACTTGAACGCAGAAATGAATTAGTTGGGGTGCCCTACACTTCATATAAAATTAATCGAAAACAGTCACAATGGGGATTTCAAAGAAAAATTTAATTGCATTTTTTGCATTAAGACACAAAGTAGCATCTCTAAGTAAGCACTTTATTTTAATTGTGGAAGAATTTTCCTTTGACAAAGTCAAAGAACTATTGCATATTCAATACCTCCTAAACTATAATTCTATAGAATAATATTTACCAATCTTTTCAACTAGAATCTACTTCAGAGAATATACATATTTTAGTATAAAGTTTTTCTCCTTTCTAAATAGTAAGAAATTTGATAAAATTAACTATTACGTGTTGGTCATTGGGAAAGCATTTTGGACTGCAGGAAACTTGTAGTTTTTGTGCTTACTGAAGTATTAACGAGGCTCTGTGCCATTGTGGTTAATCTTTAATGGTGGCGAATTCAAACAAGTAGATGATGCACTAGTTGCTACAATAAAGAGGAATTTGGCAATCGCTTTCTCTCTCCAACACTATAGACGAATAGACTTTAATATTTTAGAAATTGTTTCAGCATTGGTCTAACAGAGGTAACGAAGTCTTTGAAACATCAAAAATTGAACAATTTTAAGGAATTCAGAATAGGCAGTAGATGTCTAGGGTGAAAGTGTTAATAATTGTATCAACATCCATTTCCATTTCTGCATACATTTTATAAATGTGGCAGATATTGGCCTTCAGATGATGTGTTAACTTACAGTGTCCTACTAGAAACCCTGTAAAAATTTTCTATTCGGTCAAAACTCTATTTAAAAAGGCCTTGAATGAGTTGATGAATCTTATTCTGTTTTTATAGTTCAATGATTTTTTAGTTAGGAGTGCTTTCAAAATCATAGATTTTGCACAAAGTGTTCCTTGATGTGGCTAAAGAGTAGCTCAGGTAAAATTAATTGTAATTGTCTATCTATGTTTCTAGTTTTTATCAGTATTCATACATTTTTCATTAGCATTGTAAGAGAGATACAAGTATACAAAACGTGAATTTCAGATATCATCAAGTTTGTATGCTTTCCAGTTGCATGAGGTGTATTTTGTGATATATGAGTGATAAAATAGTACTCTGATTTTGTAAATAAAACACACAAATTTAAATTTTATTCCAAATTTATTTTATCTCCTTCAAAATATGCTCCTTCTGAAGCGATATACATATGCCAACGCTTAACCCAATCTTCCATACACTTTTCGTAGGCCCGTGAAGGTATGTCTTTTAGTTCCTTCAGCGAATTCTATTTTACAGATTCAATCGACTCAAAACGCTTACCACGAAGGGCCAATTTGAGTTTCGGGAACAGGTCAAAAAATCGCGTACAATAAGAATTTTCCATAGTAAAAATCGCTAAATGCACTTGACGTAGTCTCACATTAACAGCTGCTGTAAACAAACTAATTGACAGATGGCGCTCAAATTTGTACTATATGTTAAGAAAGGGTGTACCAACATAACTAAAAAATGTTGGTCTATTATTTAAGGAGTAGTAAGAAAACAAAAAAATCTGTATACTTTTTGAGCAGAAGATACAGATGTCCAGTGTTATTAAACTAGAACTGTCTTAGGTAACTTATAATCATTTTTAAATTGCGTGCACTAGTTTTAATACTTATTTTTAATACTTAAGAAGTAAATCTCAGTCACCAGTGGCTTAAGCAAAAAAAATAAACCTTAAAAAATTTTGGAAGGGTTCGAATAGAAATGAAAAAACAATAAAAATTTAGTTAAATTTATTGAAACTTGATTGACCATACAACGCCATTTCGAGTTGTATTTGTCAACATATAATAATATGATATGAGAATTATATAAATTAAACTAAATAATATATAAAGATTTTATTAGCTTGAATTGAAGCTCGATCTGTTGATTAGACATCTGATAATTAATACATCGAAATTGGAAATACCGAAATTTCTATAGCAATAAGATATAATATAAGGCTATATAAGTATATGCGCTATGAATATTTAAATTTAATATTAAGTTTAAAAAAAATTTAAGTAATGTAAATATTTTTCACACGCAGGTTGTGCATATTGCCATTGGGTTGACATTGTATCAATTTGGAATTAATTTGTCTCTTAGACTATCGAAATATGAGCTTCATGTAGAAAGTGTCATTTCCTATTAGTACGGGAACAAAATTTAATTGCACGATATGTCCAGACATATTTCCCATGAGCCAAAGACAAACTAATTAAACGTTAAACGTTAAACAATTAGCTTTATTCAGTTTGTATTATTTCTAGCAATACTTAATGCTATTATGCTTTTCATTTCATTAATATTTGGCCTTCCTGTAAACAAATTAATATTTTTAGTATAATTCGGATTAAAAAACTGCTATCATAACGCAGAAATTAAATCTAACAAAAACTCTGAATTAAAGAAAGAAACTATTATACTTCCGTTAAAACACAACAAAAAGAAAAAAAACGAAAACCATAAAAATCTGTACTTCTAGAAATGTTTGGGGAAACCTTATCGGACTTATAAAAATGAAACTATAAATATTTTAAAAAATATTTCATTAAGCGTTATAACACAAAACGCCCTTCAAACATGCAAAAAAGCCACCAAAAGAATTCACGAGTCGAAATATATTTGTGTGTAGCAACGGGTTTGTTGCGAATTCCACACTTGTCAGCGGTCCAAACACATCGAGCTGAACTACCACACAAGGGAGCTATAACTCAGAATTCTGTAACGGAAATTAGACCTTATCAGCGAGCTGAGAAAACAACAATTTCATTAGCAAAAAATATGTTTGTATGTATTGGAGAAGTTTCAGAATAATATGCAATGTTGACTAGAGTCTGCTTGGCTACTAGAAACTGTGGAGACCTAAGACGAGACGATATCGGAAAGTTGCATTGAAGTGCAGCAATAGTTCAGCAGCTTTACGTATAAAAACATGACCTAGTTGAGTAAATCGAAAGTTATTGGAAAAAGCGCGGTTTTGTTATTAAAGAAATTTGATTGCTTTCCTTGAACGGAAGTAAAACTGGAAGTGTTCTCACTAAATTTCATTACAAAAAAAATAATATACCCAAAAAAAATAGTTTCAAATACAAACTAGCACAGCACATTTCTTATTGGTGTCACATCAGCTTCAGACGTTATCAGCAGCAAGTTCCGCTCACAATGATCTCGTTTTCTCGGCTTAATTGTTGAGTTTTATCCTATGTGGTGTGTACAAATTATGCGATTAGAAAATGGTTATATGACGCAGCATTTCAACGTGCCAACAGCGACTGCCTATGTGTGAAGGGCGGCACTTACATCGACATTGTAGCCGATGATCAGCTTTGAGTGTTTAACAAGGAATTTGTGAATGAAACTGATACAAATGTGTTTACACATATAAACACAACAGGAAATAGTGTTTTTCTATGCCACAATGTGGCTGATAGCAAAAATGTATCTCAAATTGATGTGAATAATATATTTACAATAAAATTATAATTTGAAATTTACTTTTTCATAATTAACGAAACAAAAAAAAACTATTTTTAATTAACATTTTAATGGTAAATAAAAGGCGATTTAAAATCCTGGATCCCAATCTGTTAGTTGTGGTTCTGCGTTTGTCGCATAACAAATTATTGTATCACCTGCTTGTGGTATTATGTTTATATCCTTGAAACGCAAACCACATTCAACATCCTTCTTTATGGAATCAACTTCATTTTTCAAATGGCGCATAGATTCTAAAGTACCTAAAACAAAAAAATATATTTAAATATTTAAAAGTAAATTAGTGAAAAGGAAAATAAAAAATACCTTCATAAATAACGTCTCCGTCACGTACTAAGCGAAATTTCTGTGCTTTCTTCAAAATGCCTTTAACACAACGACAACCCGCCACAGGCACTTCCTTGCGTCCCTCATTGATGAAGAATTGTTGCAAAACGGACGCTTCACCAAGTTTTTCCTCTACATCTTTAGTTGGCAACTTACTACTTATCTCCTTTTTCAAGTCATCTATAAGTCTATATATTATATTGCAAGGCCTTATGGAAACACTTTTTGTAGCTTTCACTGGTACATCAACGGAAAAAGCGTAGATTATGGCATTGAATGTTTTTGCCAATTCAATATCTCCTTCAGTTATATTACCCACACCATAATGTACCAAATCTAAACGGCATTGTTCATTGCTGTTGTATGTTTCGAGTACATCCAGTATAGCTTCTACTGAACCATGTACGTCGCCTTTCACAATAACACTTACACGTGGTGTTTTATCCTCTTCGGCATATTCTTTAGAACGTGGTCCAAATCTATAACGGAAACGCCCTGCTAACCGGCGTGTTTCACGCTCTGCACGATATTTAGCTAAATGCTCTTCCTCTTTCTTACGTATATCTTCAAGCGTATTTTCAGTTTTATCTTTCTGTGCTTCGTGTTCTCGCCATTTTAATACCATGTTTGCTTTTTTCTATTAAAATTTATCTTAAATTTAGTTTTACTCCTTCATTTAAAAAAAAATTTTTAATTACTTCAGTTTCTACTTCTAGTATTAGTTCGCCGGCAAATGGTAGTTCTCGCCAACCCAATATTTCAACTGGTGTACCTGGTGGTGCTTCTGACATTGGTTGTCCATTATGATCGAATAAGCCACGTACTTTAGCGTGTGCCAATCCACTTACTAGTATAGAACCTTTACGTAAAATTCCTCGAGTCACAATAGCAGTGGAAAGTTTTCTACAAAGAACATAATTATCATTATTATGTGCACTATTGTCATTAATTAATGTCAATATATTATTAACCGTAGTGTAAACTAAAACTAATTTATTTAAAATCAATAAGTATTTTTAATGTAAAAATTTCACAACTCTTAAACCCGATATCTCGAGAAGCTAGCTGTGTCACAACATAACGAAGGGCAAAGAGTTCCTCAAAATAGCTGTGCCGTGCCATAAAAATTTTAGAAGATTTATTTTTGTCTAGGGAATCTGTAGAACAGGTTTGAAAGGTTTAAAAGCATTAATGAATGACAAGAGGAATACTTGGGTTAGACATTGAGATATGTGCAAAATTTAAGAGAATTTGGCAGGAATAAGGAGAAAGTTAACGATATAAATGGATAATATTTAAAAGTAGGATTCATTCAGATATAAGAAAGTATATATCTTAATGAAACACAATTAAATAAAGCTAAAAATAACGTATAATAATAAGAGCTAAACTTGAAACATACACTAGGGTACGATCTGGATTTCTTGGCCAGTCTCTTTTCAATACAGATGACAGTGAAGTAAGCTATTTTGAGCAATTTTTTCGGTTAAATTATATGGTAATATATTGATATATTGGATCGTTCAGTAGTTTCAGTTATAGACTTCTAACTTCAAACTATGCTAATTAAAAACTAAGATATATTAACATATAACGTAGTAGTACAAATTGAGCAAAATTGCTGAATTTACTAATATCCATTTTTTTAATGGATATAGCCCGTAAATCAATATCATATTACATTGAAGTATATATATGTGACAAGTAACTGTTTAGCACACTGCTATATTCTATAATTGTCCGAGGAGAATTTTGGTATTATTGGTGGGAAAAGGTGTTCTTGTTACAGTACATCCTTCCGAGTGCTTAGTGTTCTTGAGAAAATCACTGTTTCATACATAGGTTTCCAAGTTTATTAAACACAACTCAATTGTACTGTAAAACATGAGAGAAATGCAATATTAGAGACAATTTAAGATCAAATTCTGTTGAGCTAGTATATAAGAACTACAATATATCTCAGGGACATCGAAATTGATCCCATCAAAAAATACATACAGGACAAAGCCCTGAAATTATTTACGAAAACTGACAGACTTACCAACAACGCGTTATCAAATCTCAAAAAGGTTACAGGCTCCTCGGGGAGGTAGGCAGATCTGAGGTCAATTATTGCTTAGTCTGATGAAGTGATAAACAATAATCTAGTCAAGGCGTAAAGAGGGGGTTTAAAAATACCTCGAGTTAAGAAAGAGTGAAAGAGCTTAAGTGAACTGGCTCAAATAGCTTCAACATAATAATAATATCTTTACTATATATACTAACGTCTTATGTATTGATTTTTGTAAGTTCCTTTTAGACAAAATAAGTTAGTAGGAAACAATGGAATTATGAAACGATTCCTATATCGCAAGTACAAATCGAAACTAGTCTGGGCTAATATGAGTTTCGGTTCTAGGAACAGGTAGCTCTACAATCCGGATATGGGAGGAATAATGTTTTGGGTGAGTGTTAATAGAAATTTGCCGCAGTCGACATGTGTTGCGATTTTAAGAGCGGAAAGATTTACGTCCTGAAGCCAGTGGTGTCACTTTGCAATTTAAATGTAGAAGTATTCAACTTTTACTAATACTTTTTGCTTTTCGTTTGTAAGCAGAATAAATTTTATTTACTAATGAGGTTTGGAGCGATAAGTCTACGTACTGTAGCTGTAAGGTTCAAGCGATAAAACGTAGCCAAATACAATGGTTATACCAACAGCAATCAGAACAACAAGATTGATTTATAGAAATGTGTATGCTATTAAGCTATTTTCTAAAACTATTATCAACTGAAGGTTTAAAACCTAGAACTTTTGCCTATTATTAGATTTTTTTTCAACTTATTACCTAATTACTCCTAAAATAAAAATTTAATTATAACCATACAATACAAATACAATACAATACAATTACCCTCTTCTAGCATCTGTTTTCGACTCAACAACAACACCTTCCACTAATCCTGTGTAATCTGCCTTCAAGCCCATGAGAGTGGCTTGCGTGCTAACTGCCTCGGCTAATAATTCTAAATTTGTACCTTTTAAAGCTGATATTGGAATGACTTGTACATCGCCGCCTTTGTCTTCAGGCACCAAGCCCATCATCATTAAATCTCTTTTTGTTTTCTCCTGTAAGATATTTTGCTTTCAACAAATTCCAATTTATACTATACTTTCATAATTACAATATTTGCTTCGGGCTTATCAATTTTATTGATAGCAACAATAATGGGAACTAGAAAAAAATAAAACATAAAAAATAAATGCTAATAAACAATTTGTATAAAATAATTAATATTCACCTTTTGCATCTTGTGCAAGCTTAATAACCTCTTTCGTTTGTGCCATAACACCATCCTCGGCTGCAACAACCAAAACGATGATATCCGTCACATTAGCGCCACGTGCACGCATTGCACTAAAAGCCGCATGACCAGGTGTATCCAAAAACGTCACCTTTTCTCCATTTTCAAGCGTCACCGTAAATGCACCAATATGTTGTGTTATGCCACCAGCTTCACCGGCTGCCACAGCAGAACCTCGCAAAGTATCCAAGAGTGTGGTTTTGCCATGATCGACATGTCCCATAACCGTTACCACAGGTGATCTTATTTGCATCGCTTCGGGTGGTGCAGGTGGTCTTGGCGTTATGTCACGTATTTTCTCAGTTTCTATTTTGTTATCTGGCGCAGGCACGATACGTGTTTTGTTACCGCATTTACTAACAATTTCTTGTATAATTTTGAGATCTTCCAATGTGGCTTCAGGTTCAATATTTTTAGCATTTTTTACAAACAACATAGCTTCCTGTATATCCTCTGGGAAATGTAAATTAAAAATTTTAATATGTTAAAAATATTAAAGACAGAATTAATACAATTTACCTAGCGGTCGGCTCATCGTTTGCGCTAATTCCTCAACCGTCATGTAACGCCATATATCCACCACATTTTTTTTCTTCGGAGAATATTCAATTATTCTATCTGATTTCTGCAATTGTTTACGATTTCTTTTAATTAATCATTTCAATAGTATTTATTTTTAAATGAAAACCTTTTCTTCACCAACTTTCCGGCGTTTTAACCTTGTTTGGGTTGTAAACAAACAGCGCACAGCTGACACAGACTGAACATTGTAAACAGCTGATCGCTGTCTCGCACACGTCCTGCAATGTACATTCAAAATAAATTGCAAATTATAAATTCAGTTAATTTATAGTAAATATTTTTCAAATCAATCGTTTTAAAAATTACTTTTATAGATCGACTCACTTATTTTAAAGTTTTGTTTGCTAAAATTTATTGCTTAATTTCTTACCGCAAAACTGCCACCAACATTTTTACATAAACGTGAACTGCTGCACTAACTGCAGTAAAAAATGTAGAGTTGCCAACAACGCAAAATTCTCTGATTGGAGTTACAAAATTATATTTATAACTGTTCAGTATTATATTAAATTAATAATTATATATATATACAAAATAGTACAATTATGTTTATTTAAATTTATATTTAAATGTTAATTTATTTAATGAGTATTTTGGTTATTTAAACTTTCTTTTTTTCATGACATCCGCACAAATAAATAAATAACATAAAAAAGTTATATGTTAATATTTTGTTTTTTTGTATTTTATACTTTGTATTTTAATTTTTCATACATTAGTTCACTGAAGCCTATTTCAAATTTATAATTTATAACTAAGACCAAATATATATATATACACTTATCACCTATTAAACGCAAGAGTTTGTAGAAAATTACAGTTTCCTGAATTTTTTGCTGTATTACATACCGATATAATTTGATTTCTAAAATATTTATAAAATAATAAAATTTTATATTAATCACACAAACAAAATATAACCATCTAACGGAAACTAGCATAAAAGAACTACAGTCAAACTTCCATAACTCGAAGTTCATTTTTGCAAAGAAAAGGCTCGACTTATGGCGACTTCGAGTTAGAGAATTTTTTAATTTTTTTTTATTTATAGCACAGAAGTTATAGTCAAGTAAAATATTCAGTAATTACGGTGTGGGACTTTAATTTTTTTCTTATTTTCAGATTCTTTCAGATTTCAGATTCCACTTTATTTCAAGCCTTATAGTGATCATCAGTTGTAATATCATTCAACTGATGAAGCAAATATATAGTCCGAATTTTGAATAAGTCTACTACTTCGTAAAACATTAGGTTTCGAAAAAGGGACTTCCCCTAACAGTAAAATACATTAATACTTAAAATAAAAATTCAACTTATAGAATTCACTTTCCTATATTCCTATCGGCACGGAACAAAAATTTTGTTCGAGATATAGAGAAATTCGAGTTATAGAAGTTCGAGTTATGGAAGCAGAAGTGTGTATAATTTGCTCTTTAAAACCTTGGTGCACTATTTTTGGTTCAAGTTATAGAAAATTCGAGTTTGACTATATTGCATTAATTACCAAACAATGGTGGTCTAATTATTGTTAATCGGTTTCTGGAAAAATTCTCTAACTTTTCAGGAAGGTATCATAAAAATCAACCTATAGCAATATATAGGTCGTGTGCGAGTTAGAATAAGTTGATGCTAAACCAAATGGGAGATTTTTTGGGATTTTTTGCACTGCACACATTTTGCCATTTATCAACACGCATCGATACGTCAATACATTATCGACACAACTTAGAATTTCCATCATTTAGAATGCAACTTAGCCTAACTCACACACGACCATAGTTCAAGGAAAAAAGTACTCAGAATATCTCATTTTCCTAAAATCCCTTATGAAATGTAGTACCAATGATATCGTGATTTTATTCAAACTTGCATTAGCTCTTATAATAATAAATCAATTTATTCAAATTTTAAACCTAAATGTTTAAATTAGTTAGTTTTTTATTTAGTTTAGTTTAAATAATTTTATTTAATAGTTTTCAATAAATATATTGATAATTTCATTGATAAGCTTAAATAATTTTATTTAGTATTTTATAATCATTTTATATGATTAAAAGTGAACAAAACCAATAGTTTTTTCTTCATATTAATTTTTTTCTTTACTTAAATAAATTTATACATAGGCCATGTGCATGTTCGAGTAAATTGAGGTGAAGAAAATTAAAATTTCATAGGGATTTTTTGCACTGCACCTATGTAAATATTTATTTATTTATTGCATTTATTAATTATTTTTGGTTAAAAGTTTTCAAATTTTTTTATTAAACATCTTATAAAATAAACACCCAATTTATCTGATTTTTATCTAATTTATTCTACTTGAAATTCTGGTAAATACCAACATTTGCTGCCATACTGACATGATTTACTATTTCCCTTAATTTACGATCAACTTACTCAAACTCGCGGACGGATTTAATAAAGATTGAAGTATTATAATTAATAAATGTCTAATTCTATTTATAATCTGTGTTGTTATTAATGATCTTATGACCGTATATGGTCACAAGCGGCATTCGCGTCGAAGACCGTAATATTTCAAAGACGGATTCATTGTTAAGATCGTAGAACTACAGTCTTTGCTCGTTGTGGGATGTGTAAACAGTTATGTTTATTGTTGCTAAAATATTATAAAATTTTTAAAATATTATAATATCGATCACTTGTTGTATAATTTTTTATTATTTAATAAGTCTAATATAATATTTCTTCATGTTTGCTTATATTTGCTTACATTAAGTAATGTACGTACATTTCACTGCACACTTTCATGACAATTTTGTTTACATTAGTGTAATATATAATATTGAGTTCAACATGAATTTGCTAAGGCATTGACATGTTAATCCCTTAGCAAGGAATCTCGCACTACTATCCATTACTTCTCGCCTAAAAAGAGTTGACGGTTCAGCCATTAATTAATATTCAATAGCTTAAAGTAAAAACCACACCTCATGTTGATTTTGATATTCCGTGTGATTCTGCATGTTGCCCTCTGCACTTGAATAGCAGGGAAAATTTTAATTAGTAAAGACAAGAACCGTTCTTCTGAAATGCATGTACAAAGACCGTAACACTATGCAAATACGTTCTCTCAATGCATATTTTTCGAATAATTTCAATGATAGTTGTTGTATAGGCTAAATTAATTAATACTCCCATCTATGCACAAATAGTAAATTTATATATTCTAATATTTGATTTATTCATTTTACGGTTTTTAATATTAGGCTTAGGTCGGTAATTTAAGATATAAAATTTAAAAATATTTTTCTTTAATAAAAAATCACACTTATAAATTTGTGTTAAAAATTTAAATATATTTTAATTTTTATAAAAATTATTTTTTATTACAGATATCTTCAGTGTACATAATAAATAAAACAAAAAATTGTTCTTTTATTAACTTTAAAAAATTTTTTAATTTACTTTTTTATTGAAATATTTCTATTCAGTTTTTATAATTAGTGAATAAAATGTACAAATTGATTTTGAAACGATTTTGGGCTACTCAATAATTAAATTCAATTTAATGCCCTTAATACAATAAATATATATTATAAATATAATTAAACAAAATAAAATAAAGGGAACCTGAATATAAAAAAGAAAGGCACGATGTTCAAAATGCCGTGGCAAAAATATAATTAATATAAAATGGAATAATTAATAACGAAAATTTTAAGAATTAAATATGAAAATTATATATATGCAGAAGAATATCAATTAATTTAGATTCTGTTAAATTTTTTTTGTTATATTATATTAGGAATTATATTATTTTATATTATATTATAATTTATATTATATTATAAATTAATCAACGTTTGTTGTTAAATCTTTTTTTTTTATTTATATGTAAATCCACATATCTTATTTATGGCAAAACGCAAATTGATTGACAATTATAAATTTTAACAGATGTAAGAAAAATATATGTAGAAAATAACATCCATACATTTGATGCTTAGATTTTTTTGTTTTTATTATTGCAATTATATTAACTTACTTAAAAATATGGAATTTACACACAAAAATTCACAATCAACATTTTGCCATTAAAATTTTATTTAAAAACGAAAATATAATTTTTCATATATTATATATAGTTAGAAGCAAATTCACTGAGAATTATAAATTTTTATAATCACACATGTAGAATATCTCTAAAAAAAAAATGATAACAAATTTGATACTTAGATTTAAATCCGTCTATTTAGCTCTTTTACAATAGTTGCATTTGCTAATAAGAAATCAAGTAAAAAGGAAGCTTAAAAAAATTCATACTTAAGATTTTGTATTAAACTTATATTCGATCACATATACGAGAGTAAAGACATCTTATTTATGATAAGAAGTAAACTGTTTGAGAATTATAAATATTTTTACGTATACATTTATTTGCATATGTGAAATATATTCATGCAGACTACTATATTGAAGATTATTGCAACATTTTATAACTTTAATAGCTTATTTAATCATATTTTGATTATGATTAGTAACAAAGCTGTTTTATGTATGATCAAAAAATAATAAAATAGATTGCAATAAAAAAATTAAAATAGAATTTAATTAAAATAACATTAAATAAAAGCAAAAGAATGAGAAGATATAAAAATACGCAAAAACATAAAATAATAGAAAAATATTTAATGAAG